ATGGCATTAAGTTTTTCTAAGTTAAGCCAAACTTTGTAGTCAGTAAGTAAGTTTCGTTAAATTAAATATTTAAAACACGCATGACAACAGCGCGTCGGTCATTCATCACTCTTATCGAACCGGCAATCGATCGCAAACGGTAACAGTGGTTAGTTATTGTTCGCGTACGTCGTCGTGTTTATTTACGATGTTCTCGAATCAAGAGTTCGCCGACGTGTTGCTAGTTTACGGTGAGGCTCATCAGAATTCAAATATTGCAGCTCAAATTGATCGCGATAGATTTCGCCACGGGTACACCCCGATTTACACTGCGTGCCGTCAAGATTTTATTTTACTTTAAAGTCGCTTTTCTCTAGAAAATGCCGTTTTGACCTCTATGTTATATGAAACTTTTTGCTTCTTTTCACCCATTTAAATAATGACTATCATAACGTTTACACCCTGTATATCTGCATCATACAAGTCCGCGTTTTCTCATTTGTGTCGGTTTGTTGTTTATCATGCGTCATAAGGACTGAGTCAATCTACTTGACGAAATTATTCAGAAAACCATCATAGACACAAGTTGAAAGTTAGGCGAATGTACATTTAAGGATCATAAAGTTCTGAAAATATATGTGTAAATGTGAAAATATTGCTAACATATAAGATTCGATAGAAGTTTTAAAATTAATGCATAAAGTCTTTATAACATGGGTCGAAAAATGCGTGGCTTCCGAAATACAGGGTGTTTAAATTTACTTTCTATATGCTAATAGACAGAATGAGGAATGCATGTGATGAAATAAGGCCTTATTTGAATAATGCTATACCACGTTCGATCATTCGTAAATGTGAATTGTGTATTGAACAACTGGGTTTACATTTGTTAAAATAATATTGGAAAATTAAACAAATTAATATTCTGTTTTTTGTGTTTATTTGGATAGGAATTATTGCTGTGTTTAAAAACACAATCTAAACGATCATGTTAATTACTTGTAATGCCCAAATCGAAAATGTAAAAAAAATATTATTTTCCCATAAATAATTAAAAATGCATCGAACCTTAAAAATCGAAATATCTCAAATACGGCTAACTATAATGAAACTCACAGGAGAGCTTTTTTAAGTTGAAAAGTGCGAAGAATCAGTTTTTTTATTGGAAAACCAAAAAATTGCACTAAGAAAAAATTTACTACAGGTACAGTAGAGAGCGCCCTCTAGCGGCTACAGTAAAACTATGCCCATGGTTCGTTTTGTCGTACCAAAAAACCCTTGTATACCAATTTTTACTGTTATACATCAAATATTGTTCGAAATATTTAAAAAAAACTATTTTAGAAAGTAAATTTAAACACCCTGTATATCGGAAGCCACGCATTTTTCGACCCATGTTTATATAGACTTTATGCATTAATTTTAAAAGTTCTATCGAATCTTAAAGTTGTGCAACAATAAACTGAAACACCCTATAAATATTTATTATGTAGCGGTGTCAGTGACGACACCACCGCAAAGCAGTTGGAGTTTAAAAAGTTTTTCTAAAATTTATCATCTCTGTCTACGGTAGGATCCTCAACTGTTTGTCTCAAGAACGATACCTCGATAAACTTGATCTAAATTTTTATTTATCATAGAATTTTTGTTAGGTCAAAACTGGGCTAAAAGGATTGATGCGAAAAGTAAATAGTTCCGTAGCGTTTCTGGCTGTTTTATCTCATGCAGCTTGACGTATAATACTATAAAATACTTTGGTTTATGCAGCACAAGTGGGCTTGTGGAATATCGAATAATTTACAAATAGGCGAGACTGTTGAGATTATCATATATAAAGCATGCATGTAATGTCTGTTTGCTTTCATAGTACATTTCGTATTTTGCATAATAGATCGGATCTCTCGAATATAGGCTAAGCGATATTTGCTAGCAATTTCATAGAGCATAGCCCGAAATCGACGATGTACTAAAAATCGTACAGATGGATTTCACAGCGGAATTTTATTCTATTCTACTCTTTGAACAGGTACTAAACTTTCACGGTCAAGTTCAAGTTAATGACTACACAAGGATCACAAACTTTTCACGAATTAAGACCGATTTAATAATAGCCAATGAACAGAATTTGAGTATTAAGGTTTTACATACTCCAAAAATAGCGACCATTCGTGGAATATTTTCGAGGTGTAAATATGTTTAATGATAGAGAATCAAGATAAATCAACAATTATTGATTGACAAGCCCATATCACTGAAATTTTTAATGGTAGTAGAAGAATGGAGACGAAATATGGATAAACAAAGTTTACAGTAACATTGTTCTTAGATTTCAAGAGAGGATTTGAGACTATTGTAGCGAGAAATGTTAACGAAATTGCATTGCTATGGATTTCAAGGTTCATTATTCAACTATTACAAAATTATTTAATGAATAGAAGTCATAGAACTAAAATTGGCAATACATTATCAACATTAAAAAATTTCGGTGGTGTGCCGCAGGGTAGCAAATTAGGTCCTTACTATCTATTTTATATGTTAACGATATTCCTGATATTTTACAACACGGCAAAATTCAACTATTTGCTGATGCTACATCAATAAAGACATTGAAACTGCAATAGAGCTGTTAAATAACGATATGAAGATCGTAATAAATGGTTAAAGTAAATAAACTAAACACAAACAAAACAAATATATATAAAAGGAAAATCTGTAGATCAAAATTCGATAAATCTTACAATTAATCACGGAAAAATTGTGTCAATCGAATCATTTAAATATTCGGGCATATACGTAGACAGTAAATTGGAATTTGAAGGGCACTGCGAATATATTATTCAAAAATATCCAAGAAAATAAATTACTTTCACAGAATTTCGTATACCTAAGCGTTTCTTCTAAAAAAAAATGTTGTACAACACCATCATTCTTCATTGTTCGATTATTTTGTTCACTGGAAATGAAACTGTATTTCAAAATTACAAATATTTCAAATAAAGCTATGACAATCATCTTAAATAAAAATAAATAGACTAGAATAAATTTTATGCTGAAAGAACTACAATGGTTAAATATCAAAAATTTCATAGCCTACTTGGTTTTCATTTTCATATTCAAGTTAAAATATCATCTACGAAATCACTTAGAAATTTTATTGTATTGAACAATGAGTGCCACAATTATTCTACTAGAGGAAGTATAGACTTTCAGTCAGTATTTCAAAAGAGATTGTACGAATTTAATAAATTAAGTTATGATATCAAGATGTGTATCAGTTTGAAAATGTTCAAGGGAAATTGAAAAAATATCTCATGGAACCCAGAATTCATATTAGTGAAATTTGTATAAAAAGATGTAGTCTTGAAGACATAATATATTTTGTGATATACTGTGTAATATGATATTATGGACATTGTAGCATTAATTCTAAATAAATCTGAAACAAACTCTTCTTTATTAAAATCGTCAGAGATGGAATAATCGCTTTCAAAAACTTAAACTAGGAGGTATTGCCATACGTTATCGACAGAAATAAAACTACATACGATTAATGTTCGACTATATTTGCTAATTACTTTCTCAAACATTGCTGTACTCCGCATTTACGATTTACAAATAATGTAATACATGCATATCAGCACCAGAAACACATTTTACCTATGCCAAAACACGGAAGAATCAGAAAGAATTAATGAACATCGCCTCTTTCAGAAATATCATTGTACTGCTGTAAATCTCATTTTGATTTTATGATAATATTATGTCCGCCTTTGGAGGATTAGTGGAATCGATACTCATAAAACCTTCTTTCATTTTATTTATTGTGTATCTGTAATATTGTATATACAGGGTGACTTCAAAGTTGAGTCATTTATTTTAACAGTGAGTAGATCTGATCAAAAGAAATGTTTTTTCCTTTACCATTTTTCTGGTGAAATTAAAGTAACAAAGTTATAGCCCTTTGGAAGTTTGAGTACCGCCCTGTCTCAATAATAATATTATGTGCTCGTGTTTGGCGACAACGGATATAATTCGCCTTATCGGTTCATCGCATCGGAAACAAAAAAGCGAAAGAATTTGGAACGATGTTTTTACAATTATTTTATTCAGTTGTATACGTAAACAGTCAGTGTCAGTCGGTAACGCGTGAGTGAATAGTGGTGTCTGTTGCGTGGCTCAAACGAAATCAAAAATGCACATGTTTACGAAAATGCTGAACTTGTGGACATGATTCTTATTTACGGGGGGGGGGGGGGGGAGTCGGTTTCCCAATCGAGTGCAACCAACCCCTCGTGCCTTTGTTAATGTAGTACAAGGGCTCGTGACTTAAGACCTCACAGGGGAGGGAATATACCGGTGCTCCAAGACCACACGATCAAATACAGGTCCGCACTGAAATACTTGTCGGGAGGACACTTTATAAAACAAGGTAACATTTTTTTTTTCATTTTTTTTTTATTTTTACACACATATTTTGGTTTATCTTCCTTCTACAATCATTATCTGAAAATTAATGACTCAACTTCAGAGTATATACGTATAATGTATTGTACGAGGGTGGTCTCAAAAATAGAGTTTCCGCATTTTTTTTTCAACCACAAGGAATTTTTTATTTGAAAAAACGAATATACCATTGGAAACGTTAATCTTTAGGCTACTTTTCTACATAGCCGCCATTTTTTCTACGCATTATTTTAGATGAGGAATCCAAACAAATCGTTCGATTCAGTCCTTCGTTTGTCGCGAGACATCTTCGAAACAGCCCTCGTATATACACCTTAATCTAAATCGGGTTACAAAGTTTCTTTAAGCTTCTGCCTGCACGGCTGCTTCGTTGCAAAAAAAATGACAAAGTTTATGCGAAAGGAACGTGGCAGTTATCCGGTCTTCAGTCTGATACGTGACTAGACGAAGTCGCACCTGGAACAACACACACTCCGCCACCCAGTGGCGTCAGGACGAGCGGAGGTGCCACCGACGCCGAAATTACCGTCCCGACGCCGTCGTCTATAGTCAGTTTCCACGGCCACCTGGACGACGCGCACCGCCGACAATCGCGAGATTCAACTGTTTTTCGAGTTAGTAGCGCGTTGATTCGCGATTGGCTATGGCATGACACTTTCGCGATTGTCAGTTGTTTTCGGGGTGCCTCTTTCGACGGAGAAAACAAAAGTGTTCGCAAGACATCACGCGAGACGTTTGTTTTTCGTTGAGTTTTATTCGCGGGAAGCAACAGGCGATACAACGCCGTTGGACGCGATCGATTGATTTTGAACTGTTTTACGCTGTTTCGCAGGAAGCAGCGTTCGTTTTCAACTGTTTTCGAGTGGTTTTATTCGCAAAAAGCAAGAGGTGGCAGAGTTCGTTTTCAATTGTTTTTGAGGTGTTTACATCATGTGAAGCAACAAGTGATACGAAGACACGTGCATGATAAAGTTGTTTTTCGATTGGTTTCGGTTCGGTTGGAAGCAAAAAGTGATACAAAAGCATCCCAAATCATGATGCGATTTTGCAACAGTTTTTAGCGTGTTTTTCTCGCTAGGTGCAGCAAGTAATGCTACCGCTTATTTTTCGGTTGTGATCAACGAATTCGTATAGATTTTGCGTAGTTTCGAGGTCTGTAAATTAAGTAATGATACTGTTTTTTTAATGTTTTCTACTCTCCCAAAATGAGTTTCATTGAGGTGATTTTTCAACTTCGGGAGGAGAAAAAATTCACAAGGACCCAAGTCGGGCGAATGAGGAGACTGAGGAGCTAGAGGAATGTTTTTACTGATCAGAAATTTATTGCAACATCCAGTTGTTGTTTATGTTTGGTCCCACACACTACTTTTTTCGGAGCTTTTCAAGAATATCCCGATAAAAGTGTTGATTGACCGTTTGGCCTTGAGGTATACACTCTGTGGGCTGATATCGAAAAAACAAATCAGCATGCATTTAACCATCGACTTCTTCTGCATTACTTTTTTTGGCCTTGAAGTGTGTCGCTCCTTGCTCTGGTCGTACTCAAACACCCAAGACTTTTCACCAGTAATGACGCGTTCCAGAAAATGGGAGTCGTTTTCAATCGAATCCAAAAGGTGCCTTGACTTTTTAACGTTATTTTATGATAAATAATTAAAAATGCATCGAACCTTAAAAATCGAAATATCTCAAAAACGGCTAACTATAACGAAAACTCACAGGAGAGCTTTTTTATGTTGAAAGAATCAGTTTTTTTTATTCAAAAAGCAAAAAATTGCTCTAAGAAAAAAATTTAGGTCATTTTAATACACTGCAGGTATAGTAGAGAGCGCCCTCTAGCGTCTACAGTAAAACTATGCCCATGGTTCGTTTTGTCGTACCAAAAAACCCTTGTATACCAATTTTCACTGTTATACATCAAATATTGTTCGAAATATTTAAAAAAAAACTATTTTAGAAAGTAAATTTAAACACCCTGTATTTCGGAAGCCACGCATTTTTCGACCCATGTTTATATAGACTTTATGCATTAATTTTAAAAGTTCTATCGAATCTAAAAGTTATGCAACAATAAACTGAAACACCCTGTATATTCTTCACTTCGTCTATGCAATACATAGGAAATAGTTTGGTTGCAATCAAGTAGAATCACGTAACAGAATAGTTGTATAGTTGACAAACACTGAATCTTGCACTGACGCAAATGTCCTATAGCGGCTGCAAGAGGCTTACACTTTTGTTTTGTAACTGTTACCTGCAGCCCTTATACAACCTCTTAAACGACTGAAGTGTCCTATTCCGCTTGTATAGCTGTTCTAAGAGGGTTTTGCTAATGTTATTCAGTATACAATACTGTTTAAGGAATACTGTATAATCATTCTTGCAGTGATAATTGTTAGTTGGGAAATGACTCGATCGAGTTCAAACTTGTACTGAAGGCGGATCGCATGTTCCTCTGTCCCCCCTCCAAGCGCGGCGCTTCCAGTGTTGCCGAATCGAACGCTACGTTGCCGGTCTCATTGCTTAATTCACAGACCTCGTACTTTTGACTCATTTGTCTATCAATGCGACTGTTTCGTTGTTCAATTGTTTTTGGCTTTGGTATTTATATAATAGTGCTTCTAAATAATTACTTTACAATATGACTGCTAAGTTTCCGAAATTAACAAATTAACGAAGCGCACTTTAACTGGGGCGAGCACCAATCAACACATTTCTAAACTAAACTAGTATGTATAAACGTATAAAAGGGTGATTCAGTGAGGAATGCAGCAGCGATCGCTTTTTATTTTTATTTTTCTAAAATACGAAACTTAAAAGTGTAATTTCCCAATCTTTTTATGTTGTTAACAGTATAAAGGCTTAAATCTGACTGCCTGTAAAATGTGTTGAGAACAATAAAGTGAACTCTAGGTATTCTAGGAAACCAGTCGCAGAAAACTAGCATTTTATCACAATGTGATCAAAAGGTGATCGAGAGAAAGTATTGTTGCGTCTACAAGCAGAGATAACCTCTAGGTCTCTCGTCAGAGAGAGAGTTTCCTCTCCAGCTCAATTCCTGCATTTATAGTGCTCTCATCAGCGAAGCTATGCATCACATTGATCGTACAAGAAATACATATGTTATGGAAGCCATGTAATCTCGGTAGACGGTTGTATATACGGTTTGATATTCATAGAATATCCAACGCCCTTTCTATGAGAAAACTCGAATAAATCAAACTGAAAAAGCTGTCTCGCAATATGCGCGTTGCGATGTTTTCCAACAACCCCGTGTGCGATGGAACTACAAAGCTTCTGCCGTTCAGTCTCCGTCGCGGGTCATAAACACGACTCATTTTTCCTGCGAGTTTCATACATTCAAACTGTCCGATAGATATATGAACTTGGCACCGGAGTGAATAGCAAACGAAGCGTGAGCAGTTTTAGTACTTTTTTACCTTTTACAAGTTTGTACGCGGATCACTACTTGATTTAGTGACTTCTTCTGACATATCTATTTGAACGTTAATAGGGAAACCATGTATGGATTTAAAAACCTAATTTTAAACAGCGCTTTATATTTCTCAGATATTTATCATCAAAAGAACATTATTTACAAAATTTTCTTTTCAAAGTTTTCCTTTTACAGTCATTATATACCTGTCTGTGTTCTTGTATGGAACGTAATAAAAGTTATTTTTGTTCCTATTATACTAAGTGACATATAAATCCACCCAGTTTAAATGGTTTTATTTTAATAAAATTTTGTATAAGTACTTAATGAAGCATAATAAGTAAATGATGAAAATTTCAAAATGATTGCACTGCTTTAAAGCCCTTTGACCTTTAATAATGTGTGGATGCACCCTGATGTGCTACGCATTCTCCAACGCGCCTAGGCATGCTTCTGATCAGGTGGTCAATGTCCTCCTGTGGTATCTCATTCCAGGCAACCACCAACTCCTCTCGAAGTGCTTCTAGAGTCTGAGGAGGACGTTGCAAATTGAGCAATCTCCTACCCATCATATCCCACACGTGCTCAATTGGGGATAAGTCGGGAGATCTTGGTGGCCATGGTAACAATGTGACATCATTATGTTGAAAGAAGTCTATTGTGACTCTTACAACATGTGGTCGGGCATTATCTTGTTGGAAAGTTGGATCTGCCAGGGTGTCAAGATAGGGTAAAAGATAGGGTTCTAGAACTTCGTGGATATAACGCTGCGCGTTCATGTTACCTCTGATGAAGATTAAAGGTGACCTGGAACCATAAGCTATAGCACGCCAAACCATAACTCCAACAGTGTGATGAACATGTCTTTCAACACAAAACTGTGGATTCCTCCTTTCACCACGTCTCCTTCTAACCCTGGCACGACCATCGTGCATGCCTAAACAAAATCTAGACTCGTCACTAAAGACAATACTGTTCCATTCCTGATCCCAGAGTGACCGTTGTCTGCACCACTCAAGGCGATTACGTCGGTGTTCTCGAGTTAAAAGGAGGACACAGTGTGGCCCGTATGAAAACAAGCCAAAACTTCTCATTCGTCGGTAAACACTTCGCATGCCAATAGGTCTTCCGTGTTCTGCAAACCATTCATTTGCAATGGACCTGGTAGTGGAGAAACGGTCCCTTAAGGCCAATAATCTTAGGCGGCGATCTTCACGGTCTGTTGTTCTATGGCGGCGTCCAGTGCCCCTTGCTCTTTGCGTACGGCCATGTTTGACAACACCTAACCACAGTGTCTACACTTCTTTGCACTCTAACTGCAATTGCCCGAAAAGAAAGTCCAGCTTCCCGAAGTCCCACTATACGGCCCCTATCAAACTCACTAAGTTGACGAAATCGTACAGGTCTCCGTACTCTAGGCATCGTAACCGATCGTAAAGGATGTCAAGAACCAAAATCCGCCAACGTTGATTCTTTACTGCGGCTGAAATATTCATTTTTTCACTTGTTATTTACAGTAAGATAAATACATTCACCAACTTTTATTAAAATAAAACCATTTAAACTGGGTGTTGGGATTTATATGTCACTTAGTATATTTTTGTATTTTTGGCTAAATAACTCGACGGCAACGGTGACGAACCCATGCATTTTCAAATAAATATACAATCGACCTACTCAAAATGATTCCTATTTTAGATTGTAGAGTTCCAATATTCCTAATTTTGATCTGGTTTGTTTTTTGAAAAACTTGAACTCCCTAGCAGTCACCCGACTTGATTCTAAAAGTATACTGACATTTTACAATTAATGTCATAGTGAGTTACTCCTATCCCCAACACATTTTTCCTCCTTTAATGTGAATGTTTTGTTGAGCCGGTCTCATCGACATTTGATGTCTCAATAGTATGTAATTTTGCGACGAGTGCCCTTATTGACCTAATAACCACCGTATTTTCTAAATGAATTTATTTTGCGAAAACGCGTTATATTTTTTCGATTCTGTTGTCACCAAACCTTTGTTAATCAAAATTGACACCTATTGTGTCAAGAAACTTGATTTCAGGATTTACAAAAAACTTATAATAAAGTCACTTGGCTTAGGTATCTTATTGCTCCCAGCCATTCATTATTGTCCTCAACTTCTTAGGTGACAAATTTTGCTGAGATCAATGATTCGACAAGGCACGTTCATATTCTGTTTACATCGCTAACAGCGACATCGACAAAAATACATGGGAATACCATGCTCCAGCATCTGGAATTTGGAACTCAATTTTTACGCCTTCTGGGGGAAAGTTTTTGGGCCTAGGGGTAAACTTTGGGGAGCATGGATATTTTTACGAAAACGCGTTATATATCAAAATTGACACCCATTGTAACAAGGAACGTGATTTCAGGACTTATATAAAACTACTAAAGTCACCTTATTAATCCCAGCCCTTCATTGTTGTCACCAAGTTTTTTTTTATGAGTTCAATGAT